GGGAGCTCGCGCCGCGGCCGTTGGGGGGCGCCGCGTTTTGGCGGGAAGGGGCGCGTGAGGCGGGCGGCCATGTTGTTGCGCGCCGCGGAAGGGGTGAAGATGGGGGGGGGGGGGGGGGGAAGACCGGCTAACTCGCTGTCGTGCAGGGCCACACGTTGCTGTGTTTATGCCGAGTTAGCTGTATAACTAAATTAATTGATTGCATGTAGTAATGTATATCAGAGCGTGCGTTGCCAAGGTCAACAGTTAAAGATTTTGGGTCTGTTTGCACGCTGTACCGGTGGAAATTCATATTTCTGTCCTGAAATCCTGTAAATGAAGAGGGTTGTGTGAATTGCATGCTAAATCGGTGTATTCAGAAGGTATTACCTGAGGTAAAGGTGGTCCCATTGGACAGGGTGGCTTGGGTGACAAGCTTGTCTCGTATGACTGGGTGGTAAATCGCGCAACGTTGCCAGTGTGGTGACATACTGACTTAATCTCAGTGACATTTTCATGTGATATGGCCTTTTGAGGCAAAAAGAGCAGGGTATGTCTACAGATGGGCAGAATTGGGAACCAGCAAGGTGAGAGGAGCTGGACCTGGCCCGGGGAAGCATATTGAGCTGAGGTGGCTGCAACAGCTTGTACAAGACAGGGACAGCAGCTCTGCGAAAGGAAGATTATCTGGGATGTTCTGCTTAGCAGGGATATCCAGTCTATCTCTTAATTTTCCCCACTTTGCTTCCAGTTTGGGCCAATGCAGAATATTCCAAGTTGCTCCACTGTAAAGGCTGGTGGAATGTGTTATTCTGTTATAAAGAGCTGGTTATAGGAAACATATGGTAATAAAAACACAGTTGGAGAAAGGGAGGAGAGAAACTTAAACAGGCTGAAAGTTCATTTAGTATGTCTACGCCAATGGGCGAATTCAGTTGGTTTGAAATTCTCTTGACTTTGACTCATTTCCTAAGCAAGAGGATGAAAGCAAGAAAAGCATGAAATGGAGATAATATTGAAGGACTGTTAAAAACCTACTTTGGCCTTCTAGTCTCAAACAGCATGCGAGGATGGGGTGAATTGCTTTTCATCAGTTACAGAGGAAGAGGAGTCTTGTTGTGGTGCAATTCCCAGCCTTGACACAGCTCAAGTGAGAGGAGATGAATCCCACCCAACATCCCCAAAACATGAGATGGTCAGCTGGGTAACGGGTTGCCGAGGGGCTGCTCCGAACACAGAAACGCTTGTCCCTTGGAGAGGGGACAGCCCCATGTCCCAGGTCCAGTGACGAGGTTCCATGGGATACCCTTTTTCCTTTCTTGGGTGGTATTACTGGCAGAATGACCCCGTGCTTTCTGGCGCTTATCAGAAACCAGATGAAACGGAATATGATGATGATGAGGAAGGCTTTGGGGGGATCAGAGGGAAAATCCTCCTCTGCTCCTGTGCTGGCATTTTGATTATCTGTCTTGTCTGTTGTGCTCAAGTAAGATATTTAATTCTGTGTTTTTGCTGACACCTGCTGGCTCTTACCAGAAGGTTATTGTGGGCTTACACAAAACTTTCCTGCCTAAAAGGCTTTCACAACCTCGGAAGTTGTTATTTATAATTATCTCATGGGATGATGTCACTGTTAGAACTGGTCTTTACTCTCCAGATATAGGTAACTGATTGTATCTCTCCCAGTACCCTTCTTGTTATTACCAGTTACAATTCATCTGTGTGCTTGCTGTCCTAAAATGCAGAGCTAAAACATGATCCGATGGAGCATGTGGTGCGTTATAAACTGCTGTATGACTCACATGAAATCCGGGGACAACCCTGGGAAGTTGAAGGTCTTCATTTCCTAATTTAAGGAAATTTGAGTTGGAAATAAGTAGCTCCACTGCGGTCAGTGTTGTTGCACTGGCACATAGCTGCAGATTTTCCAGAGAGATCAAAATGAGGGTTCTGCTTCTAAAATGGTGCCAGTCACATCTACAAATGGTGAGCCACATACTGAAATCCCTACTCATTCTTTATCCAGGGCATACCCAAGGTGCCTTGCGGATTAGGAACATGGAAGTAATCCATTACTTACAGAAATAATAGTTCTCTCACCAGTAATCCAAAATTAATTCCTTTATAGACAATTAACTTTGGTCATCTAGGAGATGAGTTGCAGACGGAGCCCTTTGCCATGTTGGTGTTACAGCTCTAGCTCGAGATGATGAGAAAAGAAACATTTCTATCCAAAGGTGAAATGTGTGTGGGATTTCCGAGGAATATGGGCTTGTTGAGAGTCTCGGTAGAAATGGCGAAGGCATGAGGGCTCCCCCCTTGGCTGCGTTTTCCTGGGGCAGGGGCTGGCACTGCTCCCTGTGCCGTAGCTGTGCGAGGACCAGTCAGCCTCGTGTCCCAGGGCCTCTCTCACAAGCTCACACACACTTTATAGAATTAGCATTATATAAGGAATTAATGTTTATATGTTGTTCTAAGTAACATCATCTGTACAATGTTATTTCTCTGAAACAGATTCTCCAGAAAGTCCAAGGTAAAAGATTATATTCTGACAAAAGGGAGAGCAATTCAAAAGGTAAATATGGGTTTTGCAAGTTACATGTAGAGTTCAAAAAAGCATTACAGAAAATGCCCAGGACCCTGTGAGAGAGCAGGGGGCGACGCAGACTGTAAGTGGAGAGGGCAGAGGGGACAAGTGGGCCAGCAGGAGCACAAGAAAAGCTCAGTCCAGCATGGGTCGTCTCCCCTCTCTTCCCCCTTCCTACTGAATTGCCAAACACTTATTTTGAGAGGATGGGAGACGGGGGGGACTGTGGGCTCGAGCTCAGTCACGCTGTGTGGGTACGGCAAGGACAGAGGCTGCCTCTTCCTTCCTAACTGTGATAGGAGAGACTACTACACTGTATCTTCTTGGTTGCAAGAACATTTTTTAGATAGGGGCAACAACAGAGGGTCCGGACTTTACAGAAAAGAACTGACTCCACCTAAATTTGATGACTTTTGAGGCCTTTCTAGTTGGTAGGGGGGTCATACCCATTCTGGCCCTCTGTCAGTGACAGCACAGGCAAACTGTCTATGTATCGGTATGGCAATTTTAAGCAACGAGACAAAATTTGGTTAGATAATGTTAATTTAACCTTTCACTTCTTAACATGTCACCACTGCATTAGTGATTCACTGCATGATACCACATCCTGTTAGGACTGTGTGGAGAGTATGTCCCACCCTGCCCCCATTAAGTGTGCCCTGAGTGGCCTCGTGGGGCCCCCACCCACACACCCTCCGCCCCTTGGTGTGGGAGCTGCATTTAAGCTGAGGCCATTTGTTTTGGTCCTTCTTTGAGTTGCAGTGGGTGCATGGTGGACTTGTAGCTCCTGATATCCTGGCTGTGGACCTGCTGTGTGAGTGTGGACTTACCTGAGGATCTGGATTGTGGTTGTTCCTGGTCAGTGCCACCAGACCTGCTCTGCTCCTCTCGTTTGGGTCCCATGGGGCCATGCTGCTTGTGGTGAGCTCTCTATCCCTGCCTGCCTTGCTGTCACTTTTGGTTTCTGGCTTGCTGTGGCAGTGTACCCCTGCTCTTGCTGCTCCCTAATTTGGGTGTTTTGGGCCCTGAGCGCTACAGAGGCTTTCAGCCTGTGCAGAACTTTGCCCATAGGACTTACCCTGTGGTTCAAGGCTGGTCTCCAAACCCTGCAGGACCTTATGGCTATGGCGGGAGGGCACAGTGCTGCAGGCTTCTGTCGCTCCTTCAGTGGGGATTAGGAGTGGGTATAAAGGTTTGGGCTTAAATGCAGCTCCTTAAATGCAAGGGGTGGAGGCCCCAGATGAGGCTAGCCAGGGCACTTGAAGCTTGTTGGTGTACTTCAGACCTTGGCATCATGTTTGGCGGGATCTCTTGGCAGCCTTTAAATCCATGCGGGATGTAGCATGAGTAATGAAGCAAGCTATAATTTTGCCCTAAATTAAGTCCCTCCTTCCTGTTTTCAAAGAGTGAATCCACAGGAGGTAGTGTGGACAGTCTGTTGGTTCTTTATGAAATGTTGAAGGCCATAGCTAGAGGTGGGATTTGACTTCCGCCAGAATTACTGTAGTGCTAGAAGCAGGAAATCCTCATGATGGTTCCTGTCTCTTTGGATAAACTCATGTTATCCGATTTACGTTGAGGGGAGTGGAGATCTGCTTGTTTCCCAAGGACTGGGTTAGGTTAAACCTCAAAGACCTGGGGACTTGCAGGAACATACCTTACCTCCCTGCAGAGCATCTGTTCTTCACAGTGTGCCCCCAAGACACAACAGTTGCAGGATGACTAATTCCTATATGTCAAAACAGGCAGAATCCCTGCCTGAGGCTCCCTTTGTTCCCAAAAACATGAGGCCTGGCCTTATAAAAGACTTGCTTGGAGTCTGCTGTGAACACATGACAAGAAGCCCCTGCCCTGGCTGCAGAGGGGTAGGGTGGGAGTGGAGATCGGGGGAGGCTCCTCAGGGAGATGCTGACAAATGTTGGGAGCGGTATGGGTGAGAGCTTTATTAAGAGCTTCGTCTGGGGACTGTCAGAGACTTCCTTTCCTTGGTCTCCTGGGGTTGATTAGAGTAGCTGAACTGTCTCCCTTCTGTCCTGTGTTAGTTCCCAGGAACCCCATCTGCAGGTATTACAGCAGGGTCAGCACCTGGCTCTTCCTCAGTACCATTTTTAGTGGGACGAACAAAAAGTGTATCCAGCAGCCCTCCGGCCCTACCTGTCATTCTGGGACAACCGCAGCTGGGTGTTCCCACAACCGAAGGCAAGAGAGATGGTTCCCAAAGCTCAGCCAGGAGACTGCCCGTCGCCGTTACTCCTTCAATGTAGATAACAACAACTCAAATATCTGGGCACCTTTACGGCAGGCGAACAAGATGGAGG